GCGCATCCTGCCGCTGCCGTACAGGGCAGGACGCGCAGGGTGCTGCTGCCCGGTCCTCCGCTGGCAGTAGGCTTAGTGAAAGGGCAGGTGGGCAGCGCAGGGCCGAGACCTTTTGCTGGATGGTCCTTATCTACTAAAGGAGAAGGCTGTCTTAGAATCATAGAATCACAGAATCATGGAATGGTTTGGGTTGGAAGGGACCTCAAAGCCCATCCAGTTCCAACCCCCATGCCATGGGCAGGGACACCTTCCACTACACCAGGTTGCCCAAAGCCTCATCCAACCTGGCCTTGAACAGTTGGATGAGACTTTGAGGGTCTTCTCCCTCCTCCTCTTGGCTAGCTTCTCCCCAGACATAAGAAGGTGTCAGTCCTAGGTGAAGACATATATCTGGGTGGGCACAGCGTGGTGCTCTCCTCAGGTACAGGCTCTGGAGGCACCTCGGGGTACCTGTGGCATAGGAGGTCACACCCTGCTGAGAGCTGATACGTGGCCGTGCACATTCCTAACCCAGCTCAGACAAAGGCAGAGGGATTTCCATGGAGCAGGTTTGTGCCGAGCCGTGGCCGGCAGCGGCGCCTTCGGTGTGCCGCAGGTGTCGTGCATGTGGGAGGAGATCCTGTGGCTGCGGCAGTGTGTCACCGTCTCCCAGTCGTCCTGCTCCTGCATCCTGCAGACACGCTTCAAGATGCTGCTGGCCATCTCGCAAATGCAGGTGAGGGTGGGCGTGGGGCTGGGGATGCGAGCACTTTTTGGGGGGCACTGTGGGCCGGGCTCCCTTGGGAGCAGCGTGCAGATGTGCTGCACCCAGGAAGAGCCCAGGCTCTGCCAGTCCTGCCCACGGCTTGGTCAGCAACAGGACTGGGTGCTCCTGCCTTGTCCTCCCTGGCAGGACAATAGGGTGTCAGGCTTTGTGGCAACCTCGTGCAGCAGGACTGGGGGCTGTCAGTGGGTGCTCTGCTGGGCAGAATGGTTTCCATTTGGCAGAGGGGAGACTCCCAGTCACATCCCAGCTGCCCAGACCTGCACCTTGAGGGTGTCCCCTGATCCGCTGCTCTCTCCTTGCCCTCCCATCCCATCGTGAAGGGGCTGCTGGGCATCCAGGACCTGGGGCAGGTCTTCTTCGAGCCCGTCAAAGACAAACAGGGCAACATCCTCATCGTCACCCTGAAGGAGGTGAAGACCAACCAGACCTTCGAGAGCGTCCGCTGGGTTCCCATCTGCAAGCTGCAGACCAGCCGCAAGTCCGTGTCCTCCCCGGAGGAGCCCACCGCGCTGGACATGCTGCTCATCTCCGTCCAGGTGCTGCGCTGGTGCCATCGCGGTGGGGGATTGCGGTGGGCTCTGTTGCGAGACCACCCGCACTCCCTGCTTCCCCTCGGGCTGGAAGGGCCGCGGCAGAGCCCGGACCACTGGGAGTTTGGTCCTGGCTGCAGACAGAGGGGGAGCAGAGCCCAGCCAGCCTCCAAAACCCCTGTTGCGTCAAGGGGAGGCCTCAGGCTGGTGCTGGATTCATCCTGGCAGCACCAGATTGTGCCTGCTCTGCTGCTGGCCCTCTGCCAGCCGAGCTGGCTGCACCACAGCACCCGCCAGGAAGGCAGGAGCGAGCCTGGCTGCCAGGGCGCGCTCAGTCCAGCGGTGCCTTTCTCCCCAGGACAAGCTGGCTTACCACCAGCGAAGCAGCCATGCCCTCTCCCCAGGCCTCTATCTGGGCTACTTGAAGCTCTGCAGCGCCGTGGATCAGATCCGAGTGCTGGTGCCGGAGCGGCTCCCCAACATCCTGTGCCACGTCAAGATTCGCTCCAACCCCAACATCTCCAGGTAGGGCTTGCAGGGCAGCTCACCAGGGACAGCCGGGCTCTGCTGTCCCATCCAGCCTAAGAGCACCCATCAGCTCCCAGTCCTGCCCTTGGGCTCCTGGCAGCAGTGTGACATTCCCTCTCCACCCCACTGCTGGCGGTGCAGGGCAGCCTGGGGCTGGAGCAAACCATGGTCCCCCTCTACCTCCGCAGCTCCTGCATCCCTCGGAGCGCTGCTCCATCTGGGGAGGAATAGCCGAGCGAGCACAGCTCATGTAGCGGTTGTGCGTTCAGGTCCACCCCGAGCTGCTTCCTCCTCCATGTGTCTGTCTCTCCTTACTCCAGGGAGGAGTGGGAATGGCTGCAGAAGATGGTCAGCGTGGAGGAGCCTGTTCCTGCAGAGCCAGAGGCTAAGACCTCTCAGAACCACTTGTTTCAGGAGCTGCAAGTGGCCATCAAGGAGCTGATGACCCTGGTCAACATCCCACTGCAAGAGGTACAGGCAGGTGCCAAGGTCTGGGGAGGAGAAAGGGGACGAAGCCGTGCAGCACCATGCTGGTCACCCCAGCAGGCAGGGCGCTGCAGCCCCTGGTCCCTCTCTGGGGGCCTGAAGCATCAATTGGATTTTAGTCCTGTGCAAATAGAAGGCAAGTGGTGGACAACCAGCGTGTGAAGCATCTGCCTGCCCAGGGACAGTGTCCACCAGAGCTGTTTGTCTTACCCTCACCCGTACCTCCGAAGCAAGGGTGGTCCAATCTGGGTTTGCGTTATTGCCTGCTGTGTGGGTTGGTGCTGGGCTCAGCCCTTGCAGCACGACAGCAGCCCAGCTCTGCCCCTCCGAAGCAGGATGGTCCCTGGCCAGTGGTGGGACATTGCAGCAGCCCCCTGAGCCAGACTGCATGGGGAGAAGTCCCTCCTATATCCCCCAGAAATGCCAAGTATTTGCTGGGAAGGTGCCCACCAGCCCTGGTGCCAGGCACATGATTCTGGCCAGGCAGCTGTGAGGGCACCTCTCTGAGCAGGGCTGAGACCATCGCTGGCGGCACTTCTTCTCTGAGACCCTGTTGTAGTGACTTGGACCGGTAGTTCGGAGACCGATGGGAGAAATCAGAGAGGAAGGGAGGTGCACGGATCATGCCAAAAGCAAGGAGCCTCTGGCTGTGTCCCTTGGCTGCGGGTGGTCCCTGTGGACTCCTCTGCCGATAAGGAGGGTCCATCAGGAGTAGATGTGCTTGGAGTCCCTTCCCCCAGCAGCCTTAAACAGCTGGATGTTGTCCTGGTGATGTTTGCAGCTGTTACCTGAAGTGTCTTCTTGCAGGCCAAAGATTTCCGTCTGTACAGCCAAGAGGTGCTGGACTTCGGGGGTCAAGTCTCCTTCCTGCTGCTGCTGCCTCCATCAGATGACGTCTGCACTGCTCCGGGCCAGAACAACCCCTACACCCCTCGCTCCGGCTTCCTCACGCTGCCGCTGCAGATCTTTGAGCTGGGTAAGGAGGGGCATTGCCAAAACCCATCCTTGCCAGTCTTCTTGCCCTCAGAGACCTCCCAAGTGCTGGGATGGGCAGTGAGGTGGGCCGGAGCCAGCTTACCTCCCCCAGGACAGGAGGGATGGAGAGGGGTGCCGAGGGCTCCCTGGGTGGGCTAGAGGCCGGCTTCCTCACGCTGCCGCTGCAGATCTTTGAGCTGGGTAAGGAGGGGCATTGCCAAAACCCATCCTTGCCAGTCTTCTTGCCCTCAGAGACCTCCCAAGTGCTGGGATGGGCAGTGAGGTGGGCCGGAGCCAGCTTACCTCCCCCAGGACAGGAGGGATGGAGAGGGGTGCCGAGGGCTCCCTGGGTGGGCTAGAGGAGAGTGTTGCCTCCTGCTTGCTCTGAATGAGCACGGAGGAGCCCGTAGAGCATCCCCAGCAAGGGACCTGGTAATTTTCATTCCCTTCCCAGTCCACTTCTTCACGTATGACCGGGAGTTCGTCACCCAGTACTGCCAGGTGTCCGCCCTCCTGGAGCTGGAGTCGCTCCTCTCGCAGCAGAGTCTCCGGGAGGCCTTCTCCGACGCCGAGCTCTCCACCGCCAAGCAGAGGCACCAGCAGGTTCAGGACTACATCCAGGTACGTGGGGCGGGAGCATGCCGGGAGGGAGCCAGGCTCCACGGAGCCATGGGATGCAGCCAGGACAGTCCCACCCTGGCTGAGCTGCAGGAGCATCCACACGGGGCTGG